GCGCGGCGAGGCTCCAGGGCGCGGGGCCGCCGCCGCTCAGAGGCGGAGGGGCCAGCGCCTGCCTGCCGCCCCCGTCCCCGTTCACTCGCCGCGGAGCCTTCTTCTCCTCCATCCGGACCTTCTTGGCGGACAGAGACGCCGGCGGGTCCCGGGAGGACGACTGCAGCTTGCCGAAGGGCTCCTTCTCCGAGACGGCCGGGGCGGCGGCGGCAGCGCCGCGCACTGGGCTCGGCGGCGCCGCCATTTTGCACTCCTGTTGTATTTACTCCGCTCGGCTCCCGGCGCGGGGCGGGGGCGGGGCGGGGGCGGGGCGGCCGGGGCCACCGGCCTGGCCTTGCATTGGGCGAACCGCGTGGAGGGACGCACACAGAAGCCAATCAGAGACGCGAGGCAAAGTCGGAGGGGCGGGACTGCTGGGCCGACCGGCGCCGGAGGTCAGCTCGCGGCGGGGCGCTGTGGCCCCGGGGACCCTGCCTGCGAGGGTCTAAAGCTGTCGCCTGCGGCGCCCGCGTACCTGCGCGAGCTCGCGGAGAACCCGGGCCCCCGGACAGCTGAGGCCACCGGGCCTTGATGAGAGGAGACATGCTGCTCCGGTCGGGAACCGGGGCTCTGAAGTCGGTGACTGCCTGCCGGTCGGAAACTTGGGGTTCCCGACGAGGCCCCGCGGGAGCGCTAGGAGATGGGTGCGACGGGACGCCGCGCCACACCTGATATCCGGGAAGCGGCGTTGACAGGTGTGCGCAAAGCAAGCCCTTCAGTTTCTGTGTGCTTTTAAGGAGTTTATTTTGACTGACGGAGTTTCCCATTTGGTCTCCGACGCGCGGTGCACTTGGTGAGCGCGCTTTGCGTCAGCTCCCGGGTTACCGGACGGCTGCGCCTAGCGAGGAGCCTGGCTTTTGTTTAACTCGCCGACCTCATGTGCGATCGGAAATCCAAGGAAGGGAGGTAAAAATAAGAATGGTTAGCTGAGAAGATGACCGTCAGTGCCGCAAACTGAAGGCTCGTAAGAGGAGCTCTAACTGCCCGTTACTTTGTAGAAACAGTTGAATGTAACTCTTCAGGAAGTACCCAGGCCTGTGACTGCGGCAAATTAGAAATGTTTATTTTGTTTCACTTTTCCCTTTCCTTTGTTTTAGAGTGCTTTCGGAGTGGCCTCAGAATTTCACCTTGGCTGGGCATAATCCCAGCACTGTGGAGGCTGAGACAGGAGGATCGCTGTGCGTTCGAGGCTAGCCTGGGCTACATAAGCGAGTTCCAGCCTGCACTACCTAGTGAGAGCCTGTCTCAAAAAAATCACTTCCTTCAAATTGGCTTGTAGGTATGGCGTTTATTTTTAAGTGGTGTTTATTTACTTGTTTATTTAATTCAGACTGCCCTGGAATTCCATCCTGCTGTGTAAGAGGTTAAACTGCAAACCAGAAGAGCCCACTGGCTGTAGGAACAGCCCTCAAGATGAGCCACAACTGCTCACATTCCCTATTCCAGAACAATGAAGTTGCCATCCTAAGAGATCAGATGGTTGTGTTTTTTAAAAATGTGTATGTTTTATTTATTTATTCATTTATTGGGTGCAGGATCTCGCTACGCAGTTGAACTCATAGTGACCCTCCTGTCTTAGCCTGCCCAGCAGTGGGATTAGAGATGTGTGCCACCATGCCCAGGGCAGCACAGCATGAGGTCCCAGGGATCAAACCAGGGACCTTGTGCTTAGACCGCCAAGCTATCTTCCAGGCCCAGACTGTTGTCTTAACTGGCAAAATTTACTGCTTGGAGAAGTCTGAGAACTGATTTCCCAAGGGCTTGCTGTGTTCCCACCTTGCCTCAGTATCACCTTCCTTTGTTTGAAAGCCAAATAAATATGGGCTGCCCTGAGCTCCTGTCTACACTTGAGAGTTTTTACTCCCAGAGACCATTGAGCTTCCTGGGCTTCCGAGAACCACACTTCTTGTCTCTATAGAAGCCGCTCACCCCACACCTGCTTTAGGAGGTTGGGGCCTGATCAGTCCCACGGTCACGTCACCCTCCCCGGCTTCTCCCCCTTCGGACCCCCAAGCCCTGTTCCTCGGCACCTGCATGGGGCTTCGCAAGGGCAGTGAGTGCCCTCTCCCTGCCAAGGCCTTGCGCCTGTTGCCCTTCCACTCCCATCAAGACTGCAGGACTTCCAGGGCCTGTTGTTCTTATCACGCATCGCATGTAATTCAGGCAAACTCAGTTCTCTCCTCTTAACAAGTAATAGCATCGAACACAACAGCCTGAGCACCTGCTAAGCTGCAGGCCCCTCCCAGCTTGCAGACAAACCTGAGTTTACAGAAGGCAGGAACACCAACCAAATCAATTGAAAGTTGTCAGGGATCCAGGCGTGGTGGCGCATACCTGTCATCCCAGCATGCAGAAGGCTGAGGCAAGAGGATCGCCTCAAGTTCAAGGCCAGCCTGGACTAGGGAGAGAGGCCCTGTCTCACAAAACACAAGTTGCGGGGAAGGAGTCAGCCAGTTCTTCCTGGTGAGGTCACCTGGCAGCAGTGACCTCAGAGCGAGGAGACAGAAGCGGAAAACAGCAAAACAGAGCAAGTGGACACTAGCTCCATGCCTCCAAGGGGTGCTTCTGCCGCCCTGACTTTTAGGGACAGACTCACTGTATAGCCCAGGTTGGCCTGAACTCATAGTGATCCTCCTGCCTCAGCCTCCAGAGTGCTAGAGTGACAGGCTGCACCAGCCCACTAGCCTCAGATGCCTATTCTAGTCATGGCTAGGAAGGCTGGTACAAATGTGAGGGCCCCCTTATGCAGGGGTCAGTCCCAGCCTCTGAGGCATCCAGTCACCTGTGGGGAGAGCAGCTGTGCCCAGGACGAGCTGTGGCCGAGGCCACATGTGTCAGGAAAGAAGGACAAGTCAGATTGCCGCAGCGCCAAGACCCTGTGTCTTTCCCAAGCCCAGGAGCGAGACACCTGAGCTGTCCTTGAAGGGTACCCTAGTGGCTGCCTGCCTTGTTGTTGTCTTTTTGAGACAGGGTCTCACCATGCAGCTCAGGCTGGCCTTGAGCTCCCTTTGTAACCCAGGCTGGACTCACACTCACAATGATCCTCCTGCCTCAGCCTCCCAAGTGCTAGGATTACAGGCTATACCACCACCAGCCCTCCTCCCAGATTTAAGAGTTTCCCAGGGTGATTTTCCCAAGCGGGCTGGGAGTCTGCTCACTCTGACCCTGGCCATCCTCCATCCTGCAGGAAGAAGTCATGTCTGAGTAAAGCCTCAGCACTTTAAATCTGCACGGTGCTCTGGCTGCATGCAGTGTCTGTCCACCTAGCAAGGTGTCACCCTCAGGGTGTGCCATTCCCTGTGGGCTCTGCAGACCCGGGGGCCCTGTCTGAGCTGGGCAGGGGCACAGGCAGAGTGTGAGGGGCACCGGGCTGCAGGGAAGGCCAACAGACGCTAACGAGGAGGGCCAGGCTGTGGAGGGCTTTGCTGCTCAGCTGTCACCCAGGGAGCTGTCCTAAGGGATTGGGGTGGGGAGAGAGGGTGACCCTGCAAGAAGACTGCAGTTCCTGCAAGCATTCCACAGGCCGGCGTGGCACAGAAAGCATAGAGCTGCAGCTGTCCCCAGAGTGCTCTCCTTTTCTATTGTCAAGGTTTGCTGTGCAACTCAGGCGGACCCTGGACTTGCTGTGGCTCCCAGGCTGGCCTCACAGCGCGATCCTCCTGCCTCAGCCTCCAGAGTGAGTGCTGTGACAACGGGCTTGCACCACCCTACCAGCTTCTTTCATTGTTTTAATTTTGCAGGTTTTACTCTTTTTTTTTTTTTTTTTTTTGGTACAGGTATTGGATACAGGCCCTTGTGCTTGCCAGGCAGGAGCTCATGCCACTGAGCTGTCTCCCTGGCCCTCACAGGTTTACTTTGAAAAGCCTGGCTGTGGAATTTGTGTGGGGCGAGATGAAAGAACAATAGGGTGCTCACCTACACCTATGTTTTACCTCAGGTTCAAGAGCTGGCATTCCTTAAACCCCTCAGACTACTGAGTTCTCCTCCCCTGCATTCCCCTCCCCCATCGGCCCACACACACAAGAGGGCCAGTGCTTACCCCTGAGCTGCACCCCTGCTGCATAGTGGTTTCCTCTAAAAAAATAATTGCTTCCGTACCATCAGTGTGAAAATAGATGTATGATTAAAATAGTGAAAGACTCATCGGTGAAATTTCTACTTTTTAAGGATCAATTTTTTTTTTTTTTTTGGTGGAACCAGGGATTGAACTCAGGCCCTCCTTCCCTTCCGCTTGCCAGGCAAGCACTTATTCTACTGAGCCATCTCCCCAGCCCAAAATTTCTACTTTTTGAGTTCACTTTCAAATCTAATTCAAGCTACCATTATGAATTTTTACACTTTATTTCTTATTTGTAAGATTTTAGTTTTGATCTTTTTCGTGTTTAGTCCATGTATTTGATTTCAATAAATGGAAAAACACTAAATCCCAATCTAATGTAACTGGAAATTTTCTTTCTTCTTTCTTTCTTTCTTTCTTTCTTTTTTCAGTGCAGAGCAACCATGTTCAAAACCATGGCTTTATTTACTTTTTTTATTTTTGTCATTTTGAGATAGGCTTTCACCATGCAGTTCAGGTTGGCCTTGAACTCAAAGCAGTCCTCCTGCCTTAGCCTCCCCAATGCTGGGACTCACCTGGCCTTTCTTTTTCTTTTTATTAGTGCTTGTTCGTAGCACCTAACGATTATGTCCATCAGGAGGAGTTGGCGCATGTGTGTGACACATCTCAAGCCTACATCTCCTGGTCTCCTTAGCAGGGAATTTTCTATCAGTGAACAGACAGGGCAGCGCAGAGCTATCTCAAGCACCAGGGCCCGAGCCCAGGCTCCAGGTATGACCAGTCCAACCTGGACAGGCAGAGGAGTGGTGCAGCGTTGAGGAAAGGAGTCATTGCTTCTGGAAAGTTCTCGGACTTCACTGGGGTCTCCCCAGAAGGCACAGCCACCCACATGGCTGGGAGCTGGGACACCCCGGTCCAGCCTGTGGGGCACATGAAGGGACCCCATGCACTGCGGCATCAGCAGCCACCGCAGGAGAGCCTGAAGCCATGCAGCTCTGGGGAGAACTTGGGGTGGGTCCTGTGTGGGGGAGCTCCAGGAAGGAAATCACTGGATCAGAAGTAAAATGCCACCTCTGTATGACATTGACCAAGAAGCAAATACAGGAGTAGAAACTGGTTATTCATGCAGCAGTGAAGAATGTCATATCTTTATC